GGACCGCTAAGCTCCAAGTAAGTGTAAGATGGACCCCCAGAGGACAATCGCAGGTGTGAGACTCTCGCCTAACAAGGGCGCTAGGGCTTTTTCCAGTTAGCTGCAGCAGCTGCAATGTTCCCCGTCCGCAGCAGGCTGTTGTCTGGCGCCCTCTCTGTTGCGCTCTCTCGCCTCATACTCTCCTCTCCGCGCTTAGTCTCTCATTCCTTAGCACAGCCAATTAGGAAGGTGAGTGAGCCCTCAACCTGAGCGTTTTCGACGGATTCTTTTCCTTTTTTCTTCACTGCCGGCCCACTTGGCACCGATACATTCACATTCGTGTGCAAGAGCCACACCAGTGCGATCCTGGGGCATGATCGTTACCCACAAAATTGATTTCGGACAACGTAGCAGTTTTCATAGGTACAGTACAGATTATTTTTGCTTACTGATGATGTAAGTGCACCATGCGTGTTTTTACGACGTTTGTCAGCAAAGCCTAATGCATGGCACACATTGAACGAGCCATCTAACGCCAAAACTAACACGATGAACCCTTTGAAGTTAGAGTAACGCAAATTTCCGTTTTTAGCCTGTCAAAATAAAATGGCCAAGTGGTGTGGAATCTTAAGTTTCTAGGCAATTGCATCAAGATTTTTTTTCGATTCTGCTAAGGAAGTCGCACTCCATACTGCCCATGAAAATTTTCCATTACTGAAATGCCCAACGCCTCAATGAAATATTCAATTCAACTCTTTTGGATTTGAAAGCAATGGGAATATGGCAGCGAGAAAACGATTGAAAAACATCGCTTCAATATATATTGGAAATTTCAGTAGCGTTTTATAGTGGGAATAGAACGAATAATAAAATAAAGTATAATAAAGCTATACAGCCAAGCGTTTGATAGCCCTCCATCGTAGGGTAGGGATACGCTTTATTAGAATTGTGCTGTCAGTCTCGAAATAGACTTGTAGAAGAACATTTTCAACAGGAATATGTAACCGGTACGGATTAGCTTTTGAATGATCATTCTCCCTTTCAAAACGGGCCACGCACTCGACATTCACTCAAGATGCTTGACTTCTGACTGACATGGCTTCTGCCTCGACAATAACCTCGGTGTCGAAAACGATGAATAAATTGGTATGGCTGACCTTGTCGTCCATTATAGTGCCATAAAATTGAAGGCCTCGTTGTTCTCAACGATATTCGATCCTGGGTCAATGTCTGGACTACGCATATGGCACCACCAATCCTAGCCAGGATTCTTCCGAGAAAAAGGAATATTAGGACTAGATCCAGAACATTTCACTTAATTTCGCCCCCTAAGTGAAGTTTCGATAGGCAGCTGGTGTTCCGAGAAAGATTACTATGTCTTTCTCCACTCCAAATTCGAAAAACTATTTGGCGAAGCTAAGAAAGTACGTTTGCGTTGTGGAGAATTCCATGCTGACGATCCTCCCTAGCAAGATACTCTTTACAAAGTACTTGGTTAAGCCAGGCATCTGATCATGCATGCATTTTCTAGAAGGTTCCTTTGATAGTTTTTTTACTCAAACAATAATTGACAAATGCTAGTCCCAGCGATTTCGCTCATAGTTTCAGTTTTACTGTACCTTTACACAAAAAATAACGGAGACTGGTCCCGGCGATTAGGCGCATGGTTTTATTGTCATAAACAGTTCTCCGTCCTTATTACGGAAAGGATAGGAAGTCTGCTCGCTCTTCGAGGATACCCATCTTGTGAAATCGCGCCGCAGCGCCTCCAGCCACTGCCTTTCTCTTCTCAGCGTGAGATGTGTTAGCTGAAAAACGCTTTCTTCTACCCCACTGCGGAGCGCGAACAATCATGAGCCCCCCTTCCTCTCCCTCCCCACCCTGGCATTGCCTCGACAAGGCTAGAACTGTAAGCAATGCCCTTTAGGACCGATCTGTACATCACCGCCTGCGGGCTTGTGAGAAGTCAACGTGTTGGCAATGGTTAGGCCGCTGATAGAAAGGAATTTAATGATTTTCTTTTCCTTTCTTCGAAGTGTGAGGAAAAACCCTCCTTATTGATTGTTTTCCATCCAACACCTTTTCAGTAAGCAGTCGTTGGAAGAGCTGGCTCCAATAGTGACGACATTGATGGAAGTGAAAGGAAACAGTTTGTCAGAAAGTTGACCTCATGTTGGTCGGCAACAAAAGCGACGACCAAGAAGTACGTTCGATTTTGTCCGTTCTTCACTAAAGTACATGCCACAATGTCTCCAAGGAATTCTTATCTTAATTGACTGTCTTCCTTTCAGCGACGAGAAGTGGCGAAGGAAACGGGAGCGAAATTGGCTGCCAAATGGGGAACGGGATTCATCGAGACAAGTGCCAAGAACAATAACAACATCACAGAGCTTTTTCAACAACTGCTGGCTCTCGAGAAGAAACGCACATTGGCGCTGACGATGGAAGATCCCGACGCCAAGGGCCCGAAGAGAAAAGGCTGTGCAATAATGTAGTCTGGCAGGGTTAACGTCCCTCCTGTTCCCCTCGTTCCTCCGTTGCAGAATCTCAACTTGGAAGTCGCATTTGCCGACTCCAGCAGGGCCGGTTCAAGCTCTTCCCGGCGAGCTGTCGTGCCTGTTCAGACAGATTTCGAGATACTCACCAATAGGCTCCTCTACATTGCTCTACTCCTCATAGATAAGAGGGAAATCAGTTTCGCTTAAATTGCTTTTGACTGTTCACATAGAAATGATGATTGATGTATAATGTGGTGCCATACGAAATATATAATTATTGATTTTTTTATAAAGATTTAGTTTGTCGAGCTAACGACAAAAGGAATTCGTTGTGTAATATATTCCGATACACGTGGGGTTTAGTAAGCAGCGATTCGATGGCTAGAAAGCGGGGCGGTTTTGGTTACGTATCGGGCAGCATCAGCGGGAGGGTCTTAGGAGGTGGTCCCAACCACCACCACTTGAAGTGAATGATCAAAAACTCAGTCCGAGACCATCAAATCTGCCCTGCCCTTACAGCCATCATGTTCGCTGCCTTTGATACTCAATTCCAATCTTTTTTAAGTCTCTCACTTCATTCCAATTTGAAATTCTCGTCGAAAAACTAATTTGGGTGAGCTCCAAATTATTTCTTCAATTGACTCGTACTAATAGCACTTTGGCCGCAAAGTAGCTCAAAAAAGCCCGAACGCTACATATTTTTGACACCGGTTTTTGGAAGAAAAACAACCTGCTCGTTCGGATTAGTGGTAGTCCTTACATTAATATGCGTTGCTAAAGGCCGGATCTTTCGGATATCATACAAGCAAAAGTACACAACTCTGTTACCACAGGGAACGAACCATGAACTAATCTTCCGCCCCCTCTTGGTGCTCTGAGGGATGATCTATGAAAATGGAATACAGCTAAATGTTCCATGCACATGCTCCAATTAACGGGTACCCGACAGGAGGTCCGTAGCGCGGTGAAAAGACGGAGACGCAGACGGGTTAGCGGACGAGTCGCAGGGAAGGGGAGAAGAGGGCCAAATAGTGTGAAAAAAAACTCGTCGGTGTTCCTGCTCATTACAGCCTTAGCTAATTGCAACCAAACAATA